GGGTCCTTTGAAAATAGATTAAAAAGTCAACTTTTAATTTTTTATATATTTTGAATTATATTATCTCTTATATTTTTTATTTATAAAAAGATAAAATATTTTTTAAAAATTAAAAAATTAATTTTTTATCAACTTCTTAAAACACTCCATAATCAGAACCTGGGGTTGCTGCTGTAGCAGCAATTTGTTGTGAGCCCGTGTGTGCTTTTTCAGAGTCTTTTTCGATGATCTAAACCATTCATATTGTAGGATTTGTCAAGTATATCATCTATATCAAAAAATCAAGTTAATTAGAAATCCGTAATCCTATAATTAGATTCAAATTATTTTACAAAAATTATCGAGATAATGTTAACCGTTTATTTTTTCAAAACTAAATGTACTCTTGTTATAAAGTTATAGATTTCCAATCAATTTGATTTTTTGCATAGATAACCTATTTAACAAACCCTATAATATGAACTATTTAGATTATCAAAAAAGACTCCAAAAAATCTTTCACGGGAGCACAACATATTGCTGCTGCGACTCACAGGAGCGAATTAGTATCCCCTCCTTACATTTCTTACTTGCAAGGTCATTGGGCCCACTTTTAGGCCCAATTTTGATAATCCGAACCGTTCATATTTTAAGATTTGTTCAGTATATCTTACCTGTAAAAAATTAAGTTGATCAGATATCAAAAAGCATATGTTCGGAAAACTCGAACTAAAAATTATTTTTTTTAAGAATTTAATAAACAGTTTTCCGAACACATACTTCTGATATCTGGTCAACTTAATTTTTTACAAATATGATATACTGAACAAATTTTAAAATATAAACAATTTGAATTATCAAAATTGAGCCCAAAAATGAGTACAATGATCTTGCAAGTAGGAGATGCAAGAAGGAATTGTAAAGGGGGATCTTGATTCTAAAGTTTTGGACTTCCTGTTTTGAGATAAGGAACGGACGCGGAGACCAATGTTTGTACGATTTCTATAGGGCCTGTGTATGCTATCAGTAATTTATTTCATACAGGCATTAAAGCAAACAGAAGAACTGCATCATCAACACATTTATTTGTCTGATTTCTTTTGTGTATATTTTCAAAATCAATAGGTTTACCAAGTTGTACAAAACACAATCACCAGAAGATGATTAACCAAAAAAAAAAAGCAATCCTATGATCCATTGAAGGGTGTCCAGAAATCAGCATAAAACCTCAAAGGTTTTGGGAGAGCCTTCTTCCACGTATCAGCATCTGGCAATTCACCAGTAAGAGCAATGGAGCTATCGTCTTCCCTATTCCCAAGACTCAACACTGAAAGCTCACCTGGAAAAACCTCATGCATTGCCCTCAATGTCTCTTTCATTACCACATTCCCATCTCTCCTCGAATCCTCTGCCTCCACGCATCTCCCCCCCACATTCACCATAATCCTCCCACCTCTCCTCAACCTCCTCTTCATCCTCTCCCACGTCCTCGGCTCCTGCAGCTCCGGAATCAAACAACCCTTGCTAAACAAATCCACCAACACCCCCGAAAACCCGTCTTTGATCTCCGCATTCAGCGCATTCCCGATGTATATGTAAAGCCGATCTGGGTGTTGTTTCTCAAGCCTGGAGAGGCCGAAATACTCCCTCCCGACTGAAATCACAGCCGGGTCAAGCTCCCACCCGTGAATGACACCGTTGTTGGGGTAAAGATCGAGGATGAGGCGGGCAGCTGAACCGGCTCCGAAGCCTAGGATGCCGAGGGGTCCGGGAGGCAAGATTGGGGGGAGTGTGGCGAAGACGTCGAAGTAGGTGGAGGTGAGGGATTTGAGGAGGAAGGAGATGCTGTGGATGTTGCCAGGGGAATCGAGGAGGAGGAGTCGTGAGCCGGCGAAGGGGTGGTCGGCGGTGCGGGAGACTTGGAGGACACGGATGTAGTTGTGCCGGGACTTGAATTTGACGAGGGTTTTGACGAGGTCGATGGGTATGCCATCGTCTTGGGTCTCGTTGGGTTGGGGATTGAGGATGTGGTGGGTTTGCTCCTGGCATTTGACTGAGACTGAGAATGGTTTGGAGGGGATACTGATGATGGGTTTGAAGGAGAAAGTGAGGTGGTTGTGATAAGTGATGTGTGGGAGAGAGTTGTGGTGGGACATTTGAAGTGGGTTGATTTGGAGGGAAATCCATCCCTGGCCAACTGATTTCATGGCAACACACTGTTGGGAGAAAAACTCTCTCTCTCTCTCTCTCTCTCTCTCTCTTCTAAATCTTCCCTTCTGGCTGGGTGGGTACAATTGAGCTTGGCTTAACTGGTACCTCGGCAATTGAAAAATGACCTAGAAAACCCTCCCATCCCCAAAGCAAGGATTCTTTGCTTCCTTTCCTACATGCTCCCTCCTTGCAATGGTTAAGATTCACCATAAGAGAATCTAATGGCTTAGATCATCTCAAAAATATTATTTTTTAATTTTTAATTTTTTTTTAAAAAAGTAATCTGAATCGTTGGATTCTCTTAGAGTAAATCTTAACTATTATAAGGAGGGGATCAAGTATAGAAGGCAAGGAGGGGATCCTTGCTCTCCCCAACTGATTTTTGATTGGTTCAATTTTATTTTATTTTATTTTTTTGTTCTCCACTCTTTGATCCCCACGTGTGTTTGGGGAAAGGGGGGTCATGTGGGGGAAGTCCAAATCCTCTGCTATACTTTTATGAGGTTGTCCCTGCGGTAGTTCAAAACGACGTTGTTTTGAACCCTTTTTTTTTTTTTCTCTCGTTTCTTATATTTTGCTTCAACCTTTGTTGTCTGGTGTTGAACCCTAGTGAGACGAATAAAGAATAGAGGCGACTACAGCGATGAGAGGAGAGGCAGCGGTGAGGCGAGGGGAAGTGGCAGGAGACGGACAGGGAGGGATTGGCGACGGTGAGGAGGTTCGTTCGTCTCCATTCTCATTTTTCTCCCTTCGTCCCTTCGTGTTTTTTTACTTTTTTTTTATATGATTTTGTTGCCATAGTTTGATTTGTTGTTCAAAAAAAATAAGGAAAATGAGTTGGACCCCCACAAGGAGGCACCCCCTTTGGCCCCCTCTCTCTCTGATTGGCCAGTTTTTCTTTTTTCTTTTTCTTTTTTTCCTTCTCCTCTAATCACCACCCGCCACATGTGTGTGGGGGTGGTGGGGGTGATGATTGAAGGGGGTCTCAATCACTACCCAAAAAATAAATGCTTTTGATTTATTGAGTTTGATGGGTTTGATTTATTGAGTTTGATGGATTTGTTGTTGATTTGTTGTTGTTGATTTGTTGCCATAATTCTAGGGTTTGTTGTGGAAACAAATTTGTGTTTAATCTGTTCAATTTTTTTCCAATTTTTGTCCAATTTTTGTTTGTGTTAATCTATTGATTTGGTGTTATTCCCAATTTATTCCCAATGTTTGTGTTAATCTGTTCAATGTTTGTTTTATTCCCAATTTATTGGAATAATGACATTAATCTGGGCCTCAAGAATGATAGGGAACAGGGGGTTCCACAGTGTGAAGAAACATTTGTCCAATTTTCCTTAATCTGGATTCCACAAAATGATTGTGTTAATCTGTTGACTATTATGTATATAACTTAGTGAAAAAAATGAATTTTTTTTTCCCTTTTATTTGATTGAGTTCTGAAAATGAGTTCTGAATCAAGGTTGAGTCCTAAATTTGGACTCTGTTGACTCTTTGAGTTCTGAAAATGAATGAACATGAATGAAGGTTGAGTCCTGAATCAAGGTTGAGTCCTGAATTTGATTGGCAAGGTCGAGATTGTGATTGAGTCCTGAATTTTTTTTTTCCTTTTATTTGATTGAATTCTGAAAATGAGTCCTGAATCAAGGTTGAGTCCTGAATTTGGACTCTGTTGACTCTTATTTCCTTTTATTTTTTTTCCTTTTATTTGATTGAGTCTTGAATCATGAACATAAATGAACATGAATCAATTCCCTCAATCATGAACTAGGAATGAACATGAACATGAATAATTGATGAGGCATATGTTAAATGAACATGAACATGAACTATGTATATGAACTAGCATCAAGGTTTTCCTGAATCAATTCCCCAAAACCGTATATGACTAGGAATGAACATGAACATGAAAATGACAATGGTTATTAGACAAATGGTTATTTTATCATTGATTATTGTTTTATTTTACATCTTTGTTTGAATGTTGTCTTAAGTTGTAATGGACTGATTGTATCATAAAATGCTCTTACCAGGATCATGTCATGGGTTCAAACATTGATGCTGGATATTTGCAAAATAGAAGATACAATTGTGGAAAAAAAGCTGTAGTGTTCATATCAGAATCAGAGAAAAATCCAGGGAGACTGTATTTCAAGTGTGCAGATAGGATGTGCGAGTACTTTGAGTGGAGAGCGGCTTCGATTGGGAATGCATCAAATATCCAAAGGAAAAGTAATTTTTTTTTTTTTTTTTTTTTTGTTTCTGTCAATGACATTACCTAAAATTACCTATGCTTGACGAATGAAATTACCTATGAAATTCCCTATGCTTGACGAATGAAATTACCTATGAGTTTTCATTCATTATTTTATATTGTTATTGTTGGTCAGGTCATACTTGTCATTCACCTGTGAAATCTGTCCAAAAGAAATGAAATTTGTCCACAACATAATCTGTCCAAATCTGTCCATATTTTATATTTGTTCATTCATTATTTTATAAAAGAAATGAAATCTGTTGCACAGGTTTTGAATTTGTCCACAACATAACACAATCAAATCTGTCCACAACATAATAAACCTGTGTAACACAAACTTACACAACCAAATATGTCCAACACAAATGAAATCTATCCAAATCTATCCAAAACAAAAGAAAACTGTCCAAATCTGTCCACAACATAAACCTGTGCAACACAAAATAACACAAACCAAAACCAAATCTGTCCAACACAAAATTCATGTGATGAAATCTGTCCAAAACAAAAGAAAACAGTCCAAATCTGTCCACAACATAATAAACCTGTGCAACACAAAATAACACAAACCAAAACCAAATCTGTCCAACACAAAATACATGAGCCGAAATCTGTCCAAAACAAAAGAAAACTGTCCAAATCTGTCCAGATCATTCCAAATCTGTCCACAACATTATAAACCTGTGCAACACAAAATAACACAACCAAATCTGTCCAACATATATGAGACCAAATCTGTCCAAAATAAAAGAAAACTGTCCAAATCTGTCCAGATTATTATAAATCTGTCCAACACAAAATACATCTGTCCAAAACAAATGAAGATAAAATAAACTTCTCAAGGATGTCCATCTACATGACTGTCAGCGGGACTATGTGACGCTTGCGAGACTTGGACTGCAAAGTTTTGAACACTTGTACCTCGAAGCAACTCCTGAAAAGATCTGTGAGTAGGATACACAGAAGGCATTGACTGAGGCGTGTTATTTCCCTGTAATAGACCAAACCATCTATTAAACTTTGATTACAATGTATACTACATTTTTAATGTAAACTATGTAACTAATGATAACTCACATCATATGTACCATACGTAAGAGGAGGACCACTTGTACCACCCATAAGAACTTGAGGTCGAGGTTGAGATGGAGAAATGTAGATATCATGACGATGATCCTAAATACAACCAATATAAAGTATGTAACCAAAAATTTTGAAAAACAAAAAAAAAAACATTATTGAACATTAATATTACCTTATTATAATTAATACTCATGACGAAACGAGGTTGTGATTGAGAAATATTGACACCAAGACCATGATCCTAAATACAACCAATATAAAGTATGTAAACAAAATATTTGAATAAAAAAAGAAACAATATTTAACATTTTCTTAAAAACTTGCACACAAATAAATATTACCTGATTAGAATTACTACCCATGATAAAACGAGACTGTGATTGACCTTGGCAAATATAAATAACAGCACCCGACTGCATTACCAGGCAAACCAATTAAAGATAACAAAAATTAAATGCCAGGCAAACCAATGAAAGGATATAAAGTATTACGTATTACCTGACTAGAATTACCACCATGACGAAATGAGGTTGTGATTCACCTTGGGAAGTGTAAACAGTAGCACCCGACTACATTGCCAAGCAAACCAATTAAAGATAACAACAATTAACCATATAATGAACGGACTGAATGAAAGGAATTCATAAAACTAACCATATAAAGACCACATTACTATTACATATTACCTGAATAGAATTACCACCCATGACGAAATGAGGTTGTGATTCACCTTGGGAAGTGTAAACAGTAGCACCCGACTACATTGCCAAGCAAACCAATTAAGGATAACAACAATTAACCATATAATGAACAAACTTAATGAAATGAATTCATAAAAGTAACCATATAAAGACCACATTACTATTAAATATTACTTGAATAGAATTATTAGCCATGCCGAAATGAGGCTGAGATTCACATTGGGGAGTATAATCAGCAGCACTCTACATACAACGAAAACCCTTAATCAAAGTGGGTCATTAATAAATAAAATCAATGTTTTAGTTTATTAATCTACTGTATTTTAATCATATGCAATTTTTCATGTCCAAACCTGAATAGATTGCATCATTTTCTTCTTTGCAATAGATTTTTCCATCCCACCTTTGATCCTCCTTCTTCCCTTACTAGTTGATTCTCTTTTCTTCAGTCCCTTAGCTTGGATTGGACAATCTACTTCATCACTCTGTGGGCATGCGTTGCTTGACGAATTTCTCAAATCAGTTACCTCCACTTGACCACAAATGTGGACACTTAATTTGTTTTCAACCATTACACTCAATTCTTCACCTTTTGAAACTAACGACTGATAAGTTTCTTCACTTTCAGCGGCTCTACTCGCTATTGCTCTAAACATGGTCATTAATGACCGATATTGGTCACTTTGATGTAATTTCACATCAGCCTTCACTTCATACCCATGTCTATCTTTCACTCGTTCAGCCCTTGGTTTTTTAGTCCATCGTTTGAGTATATATTGTGGAGGAAGTTCCGTTGCATTGAATATATCTCTAAGCACCTTGCCACAATGTCGACATAGTATGCCCTTCACTTCAAACTTCTTGCAACTACAACTCAAAGAACCCCCTCTATCCATTGTCACAATCTTATCTTTTTTTTTCCATCTACCACTGTTCTTATTGTGAATATGGTGCTCTCACCATCATTAATAGTGCCTATAAGGGATGCTTCAATGGACTGCACATACTCATTTTGGAATTCCTCAAAAATTATTTTTTCCTATAAATCTCTGCCACTTGCTTTAACATCAAAGTTGGAATTGAAACCCTCGGCAATTTTTTGGGACAAATTATACTCGGCTTCCAATTCCTTATACCTCTTCTCATAAAGCACCCTCTCAAAATGCATGAAGAACTCCATCAAGTTATGGTCACAATTTAGATAATCCTTCAGAAATGCATTAAAGGATTCACTAAGTTAAGTAGTACTCATTCCAGCTGCCCAAGAATTCATAATATATGGCCATCCCCATTTCTCCTTCACGCGAAAAGTCTGCTCTAACCAATGATTGTCGAATGCATCATACTTATCAAGCATTTGGTCCCACTGTATTCGGAATTCTTCATCATCATCAATGTCATGCATAAATTTTAAAAACACAGCCTTGACCCCTACATCATCGAAAACAGAACTTACATGTTTGACAGCATTTTGCATCAAATGCCACGTACAAAGACGATGGTTTGTATCGGGCATGACAATTGGAATGGCCTTAGCCATCGCAGTATCTTGATCTGTGAAAATAGTTTTCGGAGCTTTGTTTGACATTGCCTCCAAAAAAATTTGAAACAACCATGTAAAAGATTCAGCAGTCTCATCATACATCAACGCTGTACCGAATATAACTGTTTCTCAATGATGATTAAATCCAACAAATGATCCAAAAGGTCTATGCTCGTTATTTAGTTTGTAAGCAGTGTTAAATGTCACTACATCACCAAACTGAGCATAGTCCATGATCATTTGAGCATCGGCCCAAAATATATTACTTATCTGCTCTTCACAATCTAATTGGACTGCATAAAAAAAAAGATGGATTTTCCACAGTTTTCTTATGAAAGTAATGCAACACACTACCCGCTTCCCCATATTCCAAATCTTTTTGTCTCTTCGATCTTAGGCAATTTTTTTGGTCCAATTTGGTGAAACCAAGTGATACTCTTCCACCAGATTCCCTAGCAAATAGTTCATAAGCAGACCTAAGAGGAATTCCAGATTCTGAAGCTAATTCTACTTCAATTGCTTGGGTGGTAGATATTTTTCTTTGGGATGGCAACATATGAATGCAATCTTGAGGCACAAGATCGTGATTATGATGTTCAACAAAATCACAAGCAATATATTTTCTTGAAATTCTACCTAACTTGATACTAAATCGGGCACCACAACCACATCTTACCTCTTGTCTTGGATTTTTAACAAGTGGATCTCGTTTGTCAATACCCCAACTTCCCTCTTTGTAACATACAAACGTACGTGATGTTATCTCCTTCGTATGTTTGTTCTTGTTTGCATAGGCCTTCCTAATACTAAAGCCCACATTTCCTCCATACGTATTGTAAAAGTCATATGCGGCTTGTTTAGAGTCAAATGGCATTCCCACTTTCGGCTTCCAACCACAATCATCAACAATATTATTTTCTTCCATTACCTACAATTCATATATATAAACCACATTTACTTAATTGCAGGTTCTGGGAGTGAACCACATTTATACTTAATTGCAGGTTCATATATATAAACCACATTCATATATATAAACCACATTTACCTACAATTCATATATATAAACCACATAATGAAAGCAAATTATATGAATCCACAAATAAATGTATGAATCTGAAAATAGATCAATGTGATTAACTATATATATAGAACATAAAATTTCATATGAAAAAATCTGACTTATATATACAGAACATAAAATTTACCTACTTCAGTGAATGAACCCATTTCAGTTAGTGAACCCATTTCATATGAAAAAATCTGAATTAATTGATTTCAAAAAAATCTGAATCATGGGTTAAAATCTAAATCAAATAGATTAAAATCTGAATTAATTGATTTCATATAGATTAAGTGAAATGGGTTTAATAAATCAACATATATGGGTTAAGTGACTGAACCAAACCATCTATGAATCAATAACAGATTAATTGATTTCAAAAAAATCTGAATCATGGGTTGAAATCTGAATCAAATATATTAAAATCTGAATTAATTGACTGAAACGGGTTAAATAAACCTCAGCAACAGATTAAAATCTGAAATGGGTTAAATAAACCATCTATGAATCAATATCAACCCATCTATGAATCCCCAACAGATTAAGATTTTAATCTGTGAATCAATAACAACCATCTATGAATCAATCTGAAATGGGTTAAAATCTGAAACAAATCTATACATATATACATATATTATATATATATATAACAGCAAGATGATGAAATAGACCTTGTTGTCGCCGCAATGTCACCTTCTCGCCATCCCATCGCCATCGGACTCACCGTCGCCCACGATCCTTTGCTCGCCATCGCGCTGCTCCTCCATCTCCGCCATCTCTTTCATCTCTCAATTCGTCTCTCAGTTCGCGTTAGTTCTCTTTCAGTTCCTCACTCTGACTTTTCAGTCGCCTCTCACGATGCCTCTCTCTCTCTGCTAGGGTTCACTAACTCAGATAGATGGTGCAAAGGCGAAGAAGAAAATACAAAGAAGAGAAAAGGGGGGAAACAAGGGAAATGAAAATTTTGAATTAAAAAAAAAAAAACTAAATAAAATGACGTCGTTTTGTAGACCACCGCAGGAACCACTACAGGAAAGTATGGCAGATGATCTGGACTCCGCCAATGTAAGGGTTCGCAAAGTACTAAAATTCGAAACTTTGATTGGTTTCAATGGCGGTTTTGAAGGAGCTTCTTCCACTAACGAAATCATCCGATACTACAAATTACGGCGCCACTGAGGCCGAGCCGAGCGATCGGGTGCGAAAGAGAGGGATTATTAGGATGGTTGTGATGCCAATTAATCCCTTAGAATTGCCGAAATTCAAACACAAGAAGAGGGCTCCCAAGGACCAACAGGATTGGAAAATTCCTCCCTGTGTTTCGAATTGGAAGAGCCCGAAAGGTTTCACCATACCACTTGACAGACGATTGGCAGCCGATGGTAGGGGGCTTCAGGAGGTTCAAACTAATGATAATTTATCAGAATCTTTGTATGTGGTGGAACAAAAGGCTAGAGAGGATGTTGCGATGAGGTCGAAGGTTCAGAAAGAAAGAGATGATGATGAAGCAGAAAGAAAGGAAAGAGCTTGAATTGCGCCCGTTAGCTCAGAAGGCACGATCTGAGAGACTGAGAGGATAGGCGCGGGACCCCCTGCTGAAAAATAGGCCACACAAAATTAGGCTAACGATTAATATATTTACATATATTTTATATTTTATTTTTTTAATTTTACTAACAACTAAAACTTCTAAATATTTGTTAATTGGGTCTTTTATCAATTGGGCCAAATAAATATTTTGAGGCCCCCTTTGAAATGGCCTAAATTAATTAAACATATTGGGCCATTTTAAGCTTTTAATATAGTGCAAACTAAATTTGGGGGCCTTTTTTTTTAACCTAATTTTTGGGACCCTAGGCACAGGCCTCACCAACCTTAGCCCAGGGCCGGCCCGAGTTCAATTTCTAAAAAATTTATTTATCTATTTTTTTTGGAATTTGTGTTTATAGACTTAATAAGGTATGACATGAAAATGTAATTTAAGAAGAAGTAACTAATGACAATTCGACTTTATTAAACCAAACAAGGAGCCAAGATGAGCCTAAAGACGGCATTCGCATTAGGCAAGTTAGAGTATCTCCAAGGGGATAGTTAAACAAGGTTTGTTAGGCATTTTAGCCAATGTAAATCTAATTTTGAGCTCCAATGGGCTAGCTATTGGGCTAGCTACTTTACCATCCTATTTTTTTGATGGCTACAATTAAAGAGCCCTAGAGGCTCTCCAAACAATTATGTATGTATATATTTTAGATTTTTGTATATTTATGTCTTGGATTTGGGATTTTATATTATATATATATGTGTGTGTGTGTGTGTGTGTGTGTGTGTGTGTGTGTAGCAATTTTATATATTCTTTCAATTCTGTTTGATGAATTATGGAATAACTTATTTTGTATTTTATATTTTTTTTCTCCTCATTCTACAGGTTTTGTATGTTTGTATGGGCAAATTTATTATTATTGCAAATTTATATTAGTAAAAAAATAATTTAGTTTAAATGATTAGCTAAAATAAAGAGTATGGTTGGAGAACACAATAGCTAAAATAATTAGGTAAAATAAAGAGTATACTTTTTTTGTACTTTAGCTAGTGAAAAGTAGAGAGTGTGGTTGGAATTGCTCTTAGGCCGTGGCTTAAGATTTCAAAATGTCTCTTAATAACTAAGAAAGACTTTATATTTAGAAAAGCCCTCGAACTAAAACAAAACCCTTATTCACCTATAAAGATATATCTTTCTTTTATAATGACTAATTTTGTTAACCATCTTGTGAATCTAATAGGAGCTCAAAAATATATTTAAAAAAGTTGCAGAATGCAATTTTTTTTTTTTGTCCATTTTTCATGGGTCCCATGTGCTGAACAAAAGTTTGGTGGCTACAAAGTTTGTAACGCCCGAAGAATTAGCCTCTATCAATTACATCATTGTTTGTTTGTTTGTTTATATCCATTAACAAAGTAAAATAGTTCAAAAGACGGGAGGTGATATAAAAGAAAGAGTAAAAAAAGCAAATATCTTGTCACTGAGTGTCATTGAGTACACAAAAATGAAATTCTAAATTTTCATACAAAATAGCCTGAGGCTTAAACACATAACATCAAAAGAGAGCCTTTGTGCCCCGTCCAAAATCTTTTCTCAAGCCAATCATTATAGTAGCGCATCAACATCGTTTCTTGAAAGGTGGTTAGTTTTGGTATGAGTTAGTACCCAATAAGAAATACATTTAATAAGTTATATAACTAATCAAGATGCATAAGATCATGCCACGCACTTGTTAGGATAAAATCCATATTTTCTCTTTTAAAACAAAAAATGTTCAATGTATGATTTCCATTTAAAGTTTCATCTACAATCATCGGGTGGTAAATCTGCTATGACATCTAAGCAAGAGCTACAAAACCATACATGCATATATAGATTCATATACATAAAATATTCTCACATTTGCCAACTCTAACAATGGCGGGGTGATGGACACCCAAAGCCTTTCCCTCTCCACTTTTGCCGACTCCTAAAACGACGAGCTTGTGGACACTCAAAATCAAGTTTTCCACATTCGTCTACTCTATAAACGGCAAGCTCGTGGATTATATTTGGGAATCATTTATGTGGTACTTCGCATTATACTAGCCATATTAACAAATAAGTCTCATATTTTATCTACAAACATGTATATTTTGTGAGGCTCATCACATCACATGATTCGTTTCACATGAGATGCCACATCGTATGATATCTAAATATGATAATCAAATACGTTTCATATGAGGTGTCACCCCTAGGTGAATCCTGTATTAACTAAGGTTAGGCCAGTATAATGCTAAGGTACATTCAGTATGGTGCTAAGGTGAACCAATATGATGTTGAGGCAAGGCCATTATGGTGCCGAGGAGAACCCATTATGAAGTCTAAGAGGTAATGAGTGTGTTCATACGCCTACCTCCAAAATGGATGATGTAGCTACTATCCAACTACCATATTACCATATTGATGTGGTATGTTTCTACTAGAAATTGGACAAACTATCCAAAGTCATGCAAAGGCAATATGCCAAAGTCATAATGTTAGCAAAAGAGTAATGCTAGGGATCATGAAAAAATATCATGAAGATGATCATAAAAGATTCTCCACCTTTAGATTACATCTATAATAAAACACCGCACACTAATCAAAGGATGAAATCCTCACGTGTTCATGCTTTGTTAGAAATTGGGCGCCTATGTGGCATGACCCTTTGAACCTTTTGAACCTGAACCTTTTGAACCTTATCCATGTAAGTTTGAATTTTAATTCAAAACTTATTTGGATAACCATTCAGGATATCTATATCTATCATATCAATAGATATGGATAGATGGATAGATAGATATTGGTGGTTATATATCTGATTATATATTTTAGATAATATATTGATATATCAGATACGTATATCGGATACATTATGTGGTTTTTACCCATAACCTTTTTTCCCAGACTCTCTCTCTCTCTGACTCTCTCCCATTAAACAACGATCAAGCCATTTTGCACTGTGACTTGTGTGGATGATACTCATTTTGTAGTATCACTCCACTGCTGGGTTCGTTGTTTAGATTCTGGAAGCACGTGATTTACCCGCGAGGTTCTATCACCTAAAGGTATGATCTAAATGTTTTTCCCGATGCGTTATAATACTATGATTTACATTGGTATCAGAGCCAATATGGGTATTTTCGTATTTTTTTAATGCATTAAAATAGGTGTATAATTTTATTTAAATATATACACATTAGATGCATGAAAATTAATGAAGGAGGAAGATGAAGTGCATGGTTTTTGCGCTTCCACTCTCATTAGATTGAGAGTGTAAAAAATACACCATTTTTAT